GCAGATCCATGAAACAGGCCTGCACGAGATATTGTTATGGGTTCTGGGCCTCCAGTTGAACTAGTGGGAGGCATTGTTATGAGCTCTAGGTATTCAGCTAGACTCATGCAGGACATTTTCATGGAATCCAGGCCCTCGGCTGGATTCCTTGGTCTTGGTGTGTGGGCAGATTTCCTGCAATCTTTTGTATATCATTCTTTGGGTGACTATTATAAATAATCTATAAAATATGTGTCCTGTATTATATTGTTCCCCTTCAAAAATAAGCCCCAAACCAACACAAACTCCATTATTTTTAAACTCACAGCAGGGTTTGGTTGATCACCCTTATCCTACAAGCAGAATTTGATCAGTTGGTAGTACTCTGCTGGAAAAAGTTCTGGAACTATATCCAAACTCAGATGAAAAGTGCAGTGATCAATTAGTAATGTCTGCCATTACTGGGGAAGAGGGAATGGGGGCATTTTTACCATGCATTTTTCATGCCTGCCAGATTGTTTCTGTTTCTGCCAGGTCAATGATGGTCACTTGAGCTTTTACAAATGCTCTGTTTCCTACAGATGAAAGAAACCAAATTTCTACCCATGTTAACATCACTGGGGAGGTGCCAATAGAGGAGGAAAAAAGAGAATAAATGCGTGTTGGGCATCTGCTACATTCTATACTTTGCATGGTTCTCTTTAAAATTCCACATCATGTGGTCATTAGGATATCCCCTTGAGGACATCCTGTCACTTTTGGGATATACATTTTCATCTCCTTTTTGCACCTAAGGACCTAGACTAAGAGAAATTAAATAACTTTTCAAAGTCTCACAATCGCCACACAAGACCTACTATTCTCTCCAATGAACGACCCAGACTTAATGTGGAACCAAATTAGATAAGACAGCAACCCCTTCTTTTCAGAAGGTCATAAAACTCATTCTACTAATTTTTACTAATTACTTTAGCTTAATGGGTCCCTTTGGGGGAAGTTGTCAACCCAGTTTACTTATTGAGACAAAATGAGGCATATCTGTTCCCCTTTCTGCCCACTGCCATACAGACAAAGTGGCTGGCGTCTTTTGGTAAGGGGGCACTCATTTCACCCAAGCAGCAAGACTAGAGTGCTGTGACGCTACCTACAAAATGCATATTCTATGGGTAAGCCTCTACAAATCCAGATGACTCTCTTTCTTGAGGCTGATTCTAATGTCTGTGATTATTTGGTGGACCAGCCACCATCCCATAAAATTATATATAATTACAAATTTACTGTGTGCCAATTGCTGGCTAAGGCCTCCAGCTGCACTGTATCCACACACTATTTCTATAACAAAGGTGCCATAGTGATCCTGACTAGACTACAAGAAATATGAAATTTTAGGGTCAGGTAACAGTCAAAGTCATAGTACTAGTAAGGTAAAGATAAGACTCCAGTCTAGGCCATCAGATTGCCAAGTCTCTGGCATACTTCCAATTTAAACTGTTTAATCAACTTTTGGTTCTTACCAGTTTCCAGTATGTCTTCCCTAGTGGGAAGGAGCCTCTGAGACAAAGGCTTGAGTGGAAGCAATGTATTTGAGTGCAGATCCCAGGACACACCAGCAGGGAAGTGGGAAATGAGACTGAGAAGGAGGGAAGCGTATCTTATCAAACAAGTTACCACCATAGAAAAAGACTCCACTGTCACTTGAAGAGCTCTCGATAGCACACAGAAGTGTCCTGTTGGCAAGGATGTTTAGGTATTCATATACCAGTTTCCACAGTATTGGTCCAGGGCTGCTCTCAATGGACAGGAACTCTCTCGTACTTTAAGTCTGGTACTGTAAGTCTACATGAGGTAGAGTGAACTGTGATGACCAGAAAAATCCCCTGGGCAAATCTCCTATAGGACAGGAGGTGGCAGCCAGAGAGCTGGTACAGAAGCATAGACCGAGGAACTGTGGTTGGGGAAACAAAAACTGCCCAGTGACTTCTTCCACTTGCTTTTCTTTTTTTAAAAATTAAAAAAAAAAACACCTCATTAAGGTACAAATCACACACCACAGCATTTACCAGTTTTAAGTAGATAATTTGATGAAATTTACTGAGTTGTATGATTAGCAACATGTTCTATTTTTAGAACATTTCATCACCTGAGTAATATATAACTACTTGTAGTTAATCCCCATTTCTATTGCCAGCCCTGGGTGACCACTAACCTTCAGTTGTCTCTTAGTAGGTTCAAAGACTTTGGTCCAGGGAGCCCCAATCCCCTACCCCACCTCCGCTGATAGCCAAATCTATAAACGCTCAAGTTCCTTACATAAAATGGTGTTGTATTTGTATATACCTTATGAATAACCAGCCAGTATATTTTTAATCACCTCTCAATAACTTATAATAATAAATGTAATGTAAATGTTATGTAAATAGTTGTTACTTTTTAAAAAAATTTATGCTTTTTAAAATTTGTACTTTGGTGTTTAAGGTAGTGGGAATTTGAACCCAGGCCTTCATACTAAGCTATATCCCAGCTTATATTTTCTGTTGTTGCTGCTGCTTGTTTTTGCTTTTTTTCTGTGTGCAGCAGTCTCATGAAGTACTAAATTGCCCAGGCTGGGCTCAAATTTGCAATCCTCCTGCCTCTGCCTCCCAGATTGCTGGGATTTACAGGCGTGCTCCACTACACCTAGATTGTTTTTGAATGTTAGGTTTCTTCCCCAAGTGTTTTCTGTCCAAGGTTGGTTGAATCTGAAGGTGCAGATCTTGCAGATACAGATGCAGATGTGCTTTCTTCTCTATGAATTTGCCTTTTCTGGACTTTTTGTGTAAATGGGACCATGTGATATGCAGTATTCTGTATAAATAAGACAATTGCTTTCCAAAAGGCTCGAGTTGCCCAAAAGTAGAAAGAGAATGATGGGTAACTGTCTAGCAAGTGCCTTCTCTACAAGCTAGGTAGAGACATTCTACTAATGGTTGCATTACAATTGACAGTGAAGAGATGCCTCATAGTTGGCCTGGAGCACCTCTTACCCAGAATGCATCCTGTGTGCTACAGCCAGTGTATTTTAGAGGTATCTTTTCAACACAAGGGGCTGGCAGACAGTAAGCTGTGGGTTAAGAGGCTGTGAAGCCCAGTAGCCTATAAATCTCAACATTGCAACTAACAAGGCTGGTTTAGAAGGCTGTGTTGTTCAACAGATCCAACAGTCTCTGGTAGTCTTGGGAGATGCAGAGGTCAGCCTTTGGGAAAGACTGATGTGCAGAAGGATCTTGGTTTCATATTTCACTTGCAATCCCTTCACATTTTTGTTAGAAGCTAATACAAGAAAAGAAACTTGACAGAAAGCAATAAGATTAGACAGCCAACTGGTCAACCGCAGTGAGCATCCTGCAGAGCTGCCATCCTGTTTTCTGAAGCTTCCTGCTGTGTATCTTTGGTGTCTGCTGGGTAAACTGATTACAATACCCCAAGCCTGGAGGCATGATTGACTCATACATGTCTGTGGTTACAAACACCATTGAATGCAAATATTTTATGATGTCAAGGTCATTCTCACTGTCTTGCCCCAAGCAGACTCAAAATTGTTGGGGAAGGTTAATTTCTTCAAGCTACTCTGCCTCCTTGGTGCTGGACCAGTTGCAAAGGAAAAGGTATTCTGGCCATGTGCTGATCAGAAACACCTACTTTTGTCCTGTGCATTATGAATTAGTTGAAAAATTGACTCTAGCACAAATAACTACCCAGAATAGCAGCATTATCATTGGTATTACTGGAATGGTGGGAATACCTTAGACCTATGATCACCATGTCTGAGTATCTGCCCTTGAAGCTGGAATTCAATAAAGAGGAGCAGCAGATGAATAGTTAGAAGGGAATTGTCTGGGTCTAGAGGTAGTGGCAAAAAGGTAGGCATCCCTTCGTCTGCACTAAGACAGACCCAAGCCCAGTTCAGACACACTGATGCCTCATCCAGGATATTGCCTAGACTGAAAGAGCAGGTTTATCCTAACGACCCTGTTAACATAACTTTCTTATCTTTCATCAGTCCAATCCTCTTTTACACACACACACACACACACACACACACACACATGCACACACACACACTAGAAGTCAAATGATTTGGATTCTACTCCTCTGGATAAGATAACTGATTTTTTAAAATATGGTTCCCCCAAATATTAATGCTTTAGCCCACTTTCCCAAAGCTCTAGAATCTATAATACTCTGATTTGAGTTGAGAAGAATGGACCAACTGTGGTGTGAACTTTAGAAATTCCTTCCTCACTCTGTGAATGCATAGCTTAGGATTTGCAAACACATGTCTATAGGCTGCCCAGCTAGTGTTCATTGCCATAGTGTGAGAATGAGGATTCCGCTATAGGGTGGCCACATGGACAGTGACCTCTGTCATTCTGCCACCAGCCATAAAAAATAGATGCTTGGTATGCGGTCATGGGTTAGCATTAACAGCCACTAACCCTCCTCCTTATTACCTATAGTAGTGTCTCAAATTCCACCATGAGAAATGTCTGTCTTTGGAGCCTTAGCAATTGTCAATGTTCAAAGACCCCCAGTAAGAGGCAAGTATCCCTGGGAGGTTGTTCCACATATGAAATTGTGGAACTGGCTTTTAGAGGATGTCCTCATACCCACCCCACAGTGATAACACATGAACACATTCTTTCAGTATAATCCACTGATCCTTAAGAGACTCAATGAAAGACAGATTTTACCATGACTTTCTTTGGAGATTGAGAAGATGCTGTCATTACAGAGCAAAAATTCCTCCTAATTTCTTGATGGAGTGGTGGATCATCTCAGGCAACACTTGGGCTAATGTGACCCAGGACGGTGTTTGTGCTGCTGGGCCCCGGATCACTTTATTAAAAGCAGAGTTTCTCAGCGCAGTTTGCCTGTTATAGAAAGATTCCATTAATCCACACCTACCACAATACTAAAAGATAAACAGAGACAGAAAAAGATAGACATAAGATGGGGCAAAAGAAGAAAAATAGAGATGGGGATGAGGGAGACAGAAAAATACAGAGAAAATGAATGAGAGAGGAGAAGAGAGGGAGAAAGACAGAGAGACAGACAGAGAGAGAGACAGAGACAGAGAGAGAGAGAGAGAGCAATGGAAGCAGAGGGAATGAGAGAGATGGAAAGGCCATGACAAATAGGGTGATGGACCTAGAGAAGAACTTAGAACTGGGAAAAGCAGAATGAGTCAGAGCTAAAACAGAGAAGAAGAGAAAGAAAGAAGAAGAAGAAAGGGAGAAAGGAGAAAAAGTAGAATTGGAGCAAGCAATGGAAGAAAAAAGTGAAAAAACAAGAACAGAAAAGGACAGAAAAAGTTGTGGAGTGCAAAAGAGAATATGAAAATGAATAACCCAATTTTGTTCCAACAACAAAGCCTCTGGACACCTTCAGGGTTTTTAAGTTCAACACTGCTGGCATCTGATGCTCTGGGAACTGCCCTGCGCACTCGGGGTGTTCAGAAGTTCCCTGGTCTCCACCTATTAGATACTGGTAGCACCAGCTCACCACAGCGGTGACAACCAAAAATGCCCCCAGGCCCTGGACAAATGTCCCTAGTAGGCAAAGTCACCTTCAACTGAGAATTGCTGAGTTAGAGGCACACAAACCTTTCCTGCCTCTCTGGGCTCAGATTGTGTATCCATCCAGGGAAATGTAGGGCTCAGAGAGGAGGATATTTAAAGCCCGTTTTCTGGGAGTACTAATTGTCCCTGATGGTAATTTAAAGCATTATTTTTATATTAAAGCAAATGTAGATATATTGCAGAGTAGAATCCCAAATTTAAGGCTGAAAGAAATTTCGTGTTTGAGACAGGGTGCTTTTGGCCACGCTCCCAGAATGCTTGGCAGGTATACATTTACATTTCTCTACCTTGGGGGAAGCTAATAATAGCTACCAATTATTGAGTGCTTACCACAGACCTGGGAGTTTAAGACTGTTTCTTATTTAATCTTCACACCCTGTCCATTGTTAGTTCCATTTTACAGATGAGGAGACTGAGGCCTATGAAGGTCATGAAATACACTCCAGGACATAGAGTAGTTCATTTATGAAGCTGGCATTAGAACCAAAGTCTATCTCGTGCTGTCTTTTCCAAGAGCTGCTGGGGAAAATTCTACAGAAAGATGAGGAGGGATGGACTATCCATGCCAGCATCCTGCTGCAGGTTGGCACGGTAACTTCAGGCTCTGCTAAAACCGGTAAACGTTTTTTTGTGTGGGAATTGAACTCAGGACCTTTGCATAGACTTGTGTTCCCAGAGGTTCTTTTTATTTTTCTATTTTGTGACATGTTCTCACTATGCCAATAAATTGCCCAGGCTGTGCTCAAACTTGAGATTTTCCTGCCTCAGCCTCTCAGAGTGCTGGGATTCCAGGAGTGTGTCATCATGCCCAGCTGAAACTGATGAACTCTGAACTCTATGGAGGTGGACAGGGAGGACCAAGGGCAAATCAGAAGCTGAATGCTGAAAAGAAAGAGATTCTCAAAAGGAGACTTATCACTCAGTGAGAAATAACAAGCCAACTCAGTGGCCTACACTTAAGACCTCAAGTCTGGCCTGAGTCCCTCCCGAGTCCCCTACAGGCCTCAGATGGGACATTCCTCAAGAATGTTCCCTGCTTAGCCTGGGACCTACAGATATGAGCAGTGCCCATGGCAAGCAGTGTGGACCAGCGTTTGCCAAACTTACTCGTTATGGGCTAGCTACTAAGACTCTCACTCTGATTTGCTCCCTACTTCTTCTTCTTTTTTTTTTTTTAAATGGATTCTGTCTTTTTAAATAAGGTAGATCACTAGAGAAATGAACACAACAAAAATGAACACAGCTGTTACATTCTAGTTAGTTGGCCAGTGTTATGATTTAGATCTGGTGTGCCCCTTCCCAAAAAGCCTCATGTTCAAAAGTAAGGCTTTCAGATGGTAATAGATCACAGGGGCACTCTGAATGTGCTACACATGCTGCCAGGAGTCAAGGTCTGGCTAGAAGAGGCAGGTCACATACAAGGGTGCATCTCCCTCCCTGGCTGCTCCCTTTGCTCTCTACTTCCTGACCTCCACGATGTGAGCAGCTTCCTCCCACAGGCCCTTCCACGATGCAATTTCGGCCTTGGAGCCTTCTGACTGCCCAAATAAATTCTCCTCCCTTAGAGAAATTGTGGGTATTGGGTATTGAGCATGTAGCTCGTCCTCTCTCAGCCCGAGGATTCTCATCTCTGTAAGATGAGTATGAGACAAGAGGACAAGAGGCTCTATCCAAGGTGCCTGTGAGAGTTCCTAGTTTTGAGCAGTCAACAACAACAATGGTAACCCTAAAACAAACAATTACCTTTCCGAAGTTGTGCATTTCTTGGTCCCTGGTGAATTTGCAAGTGTTGATTATTTTTACCTCCAACAAAATCATTCAGAGGGAAGGAGACTGGTGCTAGAGACAAAGGGGTCCATCTTCAATGCCAATCAACTAAGGGGGTTGTGGGGAAAAATAATGATGCTCTTGTCTTGTCCCCAAATCACCCATTTTAAAACCACCCAGCTGCTGCGTCCCCATCCTTCACCCATTCAATCCCTCCCAGCCCAGGACTGGTCTGTTCCACTCTTCCCCAGGAGATCTCTCATCACCTTGTGGATCCTCCTAATCCCATCTGTACAGCCAATAAACATTCTACTTTGCTCCCACTGCTTGTCAATTGCAGAGCTAGACTTGTGTGACACATGATGAATCCCATGAGCCACAGAGATTCAAAGAGAGCTTCCCTTTGCCAATAATATTAATAATTACTCATCCATTAAATAAAATTGATAAGCATTAATTATAGTCATTTATGATAATGATTAAGCAAAATGCGAAGTTCTTGCTTACCATGGTGAGGGTGGTTATGGGTTCCACAACCCGAGCACTTGTCACACAGATTCCTCTCCACAACCTTCTCCATGGACAGTTGTGTGATGTGCTTGTGAGACACAGGGCACTGAAAATGGGTGGAGCCCAAGTCTGGGAGAGGCAAGAAGGAAGGGAGTGAAGCAGAAGATAATGTTAGAGAGGAGGGAAAAGGACAGGGCTAAGAAAGGCCGCCCTTCCCCTGTATCTTTTCACATTTCTTCCTTCTGTACTTCCTTCTACCTGTGTCCACATTTCCCCCTTTTATGGGACACTCATCATATTGGATTAGGCCTCACCACAATGACCTTATTTCAGTGTAATTATCTCTGTGAAGTACCTGTCTCCAAATAAAGTCACCTTCTGAGATACTATGGTAAAGAACTTCAGCATATGAATCTACATGGTGACAAATTCAGTCTATAACCCTGGCCACATGAGTGGGCATCTTGGTTTAATGGTTCCTCCTGGCAGCCCCACCCCCTCTGCATCAAATGTCCTTCCCTAACAGGCAGGAACTCCCTGTGTGACCCAAACCTCCCACCACAGTTGAAATTCACCTTTCATTCTCCAAAGAATAACTGTATTCTCTCCTTTCTTTTCTGAGCCTTAAGTTCTTGACTCCTTGTAGCTGAATATAACCATTTCCTTCCCCCAACTAATGGACACAGTATAAAGGAAGTGAGAAATGGGGGGGCAGTATTCAAGTCATTTTTTTAAATGCAAACCATTCTCTAGAGTTCAAAATGTAAGCCAGATGCTATCAAGGACTGGAAAAGGAAGGTAGGCTCATGGTTGTGGTTCCAAGCCTGAGAGCTTCAGTTTAAAAATAGGTGAACTGAAATAAATACTGAAAGCTACTCAGATGGCACTGAAATAGAGTGGTAATTGATCTAATGCAACTCTTGCCTCGGATAACATCATTATTTGTGAAATTATGTCAGTGTTGCTCTTGCCAAGTCAGCAAACACTTACAGGACGTGACTTCTAATTTAGGAATGGGACTATTTGTAGCTAATCTTAGAAGACAGCAGGCAGAAGCTCAGTGGACACACAATAGCCAGATTTCTGAGTGCCCAGCACTGCGGTTGAAATTCACACAGTTGAAGCACCCAGGACCAGGGATATCCCTTCCTTGGTGCCCATTCCAGGAAGTATCACCTCCCCTGCCTGAGAGGAACAGCTGCCCAGTTCAAAGGAGTGTGGTTTGCAGATGGCCACCTGCTACCGGCTCCTCAGGGTCTGCCTTGGCTGCAGAATGTGCTGGCTTTTTGAGGCCAGTCATGGCCTGTGACACAGTGACCTAAGGGTATGAACAAAGGCTGGGCATTTGGCTTTGCCTAGGTCATGGTGTTGTGACTTAGTACTTGCTCCAGAGTTCCCTGCCTGGTCGACCAAGGTTTCACCAATCTCATTTCTTTCCATTGTCAATCTGCTCTCTCTCCTTTCTTTTCCAAGGTATTAACCCACCCCCTAAGTCCCCCCAAAATCATCTCATATCCCAGACTCCAGGGAACCCAACCTGAGACAGGTGCTGTGGACCTATCCAAAGTCCAAGCATGTTTCCCTTTGTCCCCTCTGTGCTTTTGAAAGACAGCAGGTAAAACTTTCTCTTCATGCCTTCCCAGAGCCAGCTGTGGGATCCATTGCAGAATTTCAAGTGGAAGAAACTTATAAATCGCTTTTCATTGTAATACCAGATTTTTGTTTATTTGACCTCCATGGAATGAGATATGTGCGTAAAAATTACTGTTTGAAAGTAAAATCATTCCTTTATTCACATTTTTTCTTGGGCACAATTGCCATATTCCAGGCACATTTCTAGGTATTGTGAATGGTGTATTAGCCCATTTTTCATTATTTTAATGGATTACTTGGGGCTGGGGTACTTTATAAAGTAAAAAGATTTATATTGGCTCCTGGCTGTGGTACAAGGTCAAAGGGCTGTACCTGGTGACAACCTTGCTGGCAGTCCTAAGGTGGCTCAAGACATCACATGGCAAGAGTCAGGGGGTGTATTTCTCTCTCTTACTCCCTCCCTCCATCCCTCTCCCTCTCCCTCTCCCTCTTTCTCTCTCTCTCAGGTCCAGCAAGCCTCCATCATGGATTCCAAACCTAATGACTTTATCTAATCCTAATCTCCTCCCAAAGCCCCAGCTCTAAACACCACAGCAAGATTGTTTCAACTAGCTTAATAACTCACATTGGGAATTAAATTTCGACACACCAACCTCAGGGGTGAGTCCAACCATATCTGTTACAGTTTAGATCTTGAATGTCCTTCAGAAGGCTTGAGTTCAGGCGTGGGGCTTTTGGAAGGCAATTGAAGCATGAGGGCATTGCACTCATCAGTGAGTTCAGTGACTGAATGTGCCCTTAGGAGATGGGGCAGAGTTGGAGGTGAGTCACTGGGGAAGTGACCTGGAAGGGATGCTCTTGTCCCTGGCTCCTCTTTTCACTTGCTGCTTCTTGGCTGCCATAGTACGAGCAGCTTTCTGCCACCTAGTTCCTTCCATCATGCCTCTTCTGCCTTGGAGCCAGCAAGCATGGATGGAAACCATGAGCCAAAGTAAACCGCTCCTCTTTCATGTTGTGGGAGTTGGGTGTTGTGTGTCAGTGATGGGAATGGCTGAGTGTATCCAAAACACAGCACATAGTGAATGAGACAGACAAGGATGCTCAGAGCATAGGCACCAGGTGAGGAGTCACCTGTAAAGAAAATGAAAAGGAATCGGATGGTAGTCAATAACTGAGATACAGGAATTTCTTTTGATGAAATGGTCACAGGGGACCTCTGGAGGAGGCAACAGTAGTGTTGAAACATGAAAGACAAAGATTTCAGCAGGTTTCAGCAGATCAAGTGTTAATTGTTTGGATTAAACGGACCTACAAGTTCCTACTCAGAGCTGAATTTAGCCAACAGCATCATCCAACAGAGAGTAGAGACGTGACTTGTTTGAACACTTTTGAAGACCCTGCTGGCAATCCAAACACTGTGCAGGCCACAGAACCAGATGTACAAGGAGCAGCCAGAGAGCCTGTGTGGTCAAGGGCAGAGCAGAACTGACACCCTATGGCCGGCATTGTGTCTCAAATGGTACACACACACACCTGTGCAGAGCCATGAGGCAAGTGCAGCAGGGCCCCTGCCTGGATGACACCACTTGTGTATGCCCTGCAAGGGAGGAGGCTGAAGCATTTGCTATTTTCTCTATTTTTTCCAGGTAGGGGGCCACAACCCTGTACATGACTTTCCCACTGGAAATCAGTGCTGGCACTGAGGGCACAGCTTAGAGTCTTGGTCTGTGTGTGTAGTGGGACTGCTCAACAGGTGTTAAGAGCTGTCAGACTACCTCAGGGTCAGGGGGCAATGCATTTGGGTAGTTTGGAATTACTTATCCACCCACATAGTTCATCTTATGCTCTTCTCATTCCTTGCTCTTTGTACCTGTTCTTTCATTTCTGTAGTTCCCTCTGCCTCCACAGCCTCTGCTTGCCCAATGGACTCTTCATTGTTCATATTTTGGATCAAGTAGTCCCTCTTCTGTGGGCTCTTCCATCCGCTCAACACACACACACGCATACAGAGCTGACCCCTCTCCTCTCTGCTTGCATGGTGGCTGGTACTTCTAGGTGTTTCCTTTTCTCCATCTGTCACATAGGAATAATGATAGAATTTACTGGCCACAGTTGGCATGAATGTTCTGTCAATCAATATTTACATATCAGTATCTTAGACCCACATTGGGTCAATTGTAAATATTTAATAACTGTAAGCCAATAAGATTACATACCTCAATCTTCATGGTTGAAATAATTACTAATAATACCGAAGGCTTATTGATTCACTAGTGTATGTATGCTAAAAAGTAATCTTTATAAAAACCTGACAAAGTTGGTATTCTCATATTATTATCAAGAAAATCAGGATATCTAATACTTCAAATGTTTCTTTCCAGTGTTTTCTATCTGACTGTGATCTTTTCAAAAGAAGCACCTAAATTCTATTTATCTTGCTGTCTCCAACAGAATGTCTTTGCATCAACAGATATTTGGTGAGTGAAGGAATAAATAAATTATGAAGCAGAAAGGACCATTATTTAAGAGATAGAGAAATGAGGACCTCCAAATAAGGTGAGACTTTCCTAAGAATAAAAGTAGAGGTCTATTTGATCCAGAGTCCAACTGATTCTTCATTAACTAATGCCTCTCATACTAAACTGTACACATGAACCACATATGAAACCTTGTTGAAGCGCAGATTTTCATTCAGTGGATCTAGAGCAGGATCCAGTATTCTGCATTTCTAATAATTTCTTGTATTAACATCACATTACTATAATGAAATACCTGAGGCAATTAACTGATAAAGAGAAAGGATTTGTTTTGCTTCAGTTTCCCATCCAAAATTAAATGGCCCTGTTGCTTTAGGACTCTGACGAGAGTGGCGTATTATGGCAGGAGTGTGTGGCGGAGCAGAACACATCATGAGACAAGAAGCGAAGAGAGGAAGAGATGAGGTTCTGCAATCTCCTGTGGGTGCACTGCCCCAATGACCTAAGGATCTCCCATCAGGCCCCGCCTTCCAAGGGTTCACAGCAATTTCCAATACTGCCATCTTGGGGACCAGGCATTTAACATGTGGACTTTCAAGGGACACTAACATACCTAGGACAGAGTCTCCCAACAAAGCAGTGCTTACGTTATTTGGTTCTATGCCTACAAAACATAGAAGCCAATGAAGTTTCCTTCAGTAAAATATGAACTTAGTAGAAGTAATCCAAGGAAAAATGCAGAAATAAACTCCAGCAAGGATGGACCCAAGCAGTAGGTAAGAGTCCTTCCAGGGGATTCCAGAGTCAGGAAAAATCAGCTCCAACTATGTGCTGCCCTGGAATCACCCCATTCAAAGCTTCCCACATCCAGAGTGGGAATCAGATTGACTCAGTTGGAAGCACTCAACCACGCCCAGATGAGGGAAGGGTAGGACATCATAACTGATAAACTCATCAAAACTATGTATGATGAAGGACAAGCACTTTCCTGGTGGAAAAAATGAAACTTTTGCATGAAAAGAAAAAGTGTATTAAGCTACACTGCCCAAAGGCAAGGTC